CTTTGGTAAACTGATATGACTGACTAATCCACAAGGACTCTTGTACTCTGAATTTGAAAACACTCATATTCCACCTCACACTTGGATGGTAAGCTCTCTAGGAAAAGTAGTAGGTTTTTTTTGTTTCACTTGTATCACTTCTCTCAATAAAGCTATGATACACAACCTGAACACCTAACATTAAGCCCACCAAACTACAGAATTTCACCCAAAATATGTAAAAATCACTGATACTTAAATTTACTTTCCATGTGTCCAGAAGCCCAGGTAACAGTGCCAGCATGAACGCTACACTCTCATATCATATGGATCCAACCACACCTGACACAACTGCCAGAGCTGCAGCTACACAGTTCTGCTACGTTAAAGAGTTCATTGCTGTTCTTCAACTTCCATATTATGAACAATAGACAACTCCACTATGACTTTCACCAGCATCAAAACTGCTATTTGGTATACCGCCATTATGAAACGAAGTATCAGAATGTGGGGGTTTGTCTCCTCCTCGCAAGCACTGCTGTCCAGGTGGTCTGATCTTCTAGGAAACCAGAACTTGCACTGGGAGGGGTATAACACCCATGGTGCATAAGCTTAAGAGCTGATGTTTCAGCACCCACCTTTTTCTACTCCTCCATCCCTTACAAAAACAAAGAACAAAGCCTCTACACTCTTACTTCCTTTTCCAGTATTTGCTCAATCACCACCCCCCTCCCTCACAGAAAGGGACTCTGTTCTCCCGTTCACGTGTTTTGCTAAGAAAAGGTGGGAGCAGTGCTAGTTACTCATGCGAACATGGACACGGACAGGTCAGGATGGAAACAATCTACTCTACCCTCCTCACCCTTGTAAGGGAAGACAAAGGAAGCAGTAAACTTGAGCAGGACAAAAGAACAACACTAGCACCATAACAGTGATGGTATCACACAGTTACAATGTTCTTTGGCACTACACATACTGAGAAATAGTAGTACTACTTATGTCAGTACTTAGCCATGACTTACAAGATTATGTTTACAATCACTCTCCCACCAGCAGCAGCTTTTCAACACAGGAAGTAATTTCAGTTTATTTCTTAAAACTTTCTTACTACTTGCCTGCAAGTGATATAAAGTAATATGAAGAAAAAAAAAAATTGAGAGGAATCTTAATTCATCACCTAACCTACCCCCTTGAGGACTGAAAACATCCTAGCATAATGCAACTATCTTTACAGTCCAATCCCCAGCCATTTATCCTAATCACTCACACTTGCAAAGAATTACAGCAGGTTTCCAAACAAACAGCCAACAAATTAGGTACAGCACACTGCTCTGCAGCGAAGACTTTAACCTTATTCTTTTCAGTATCCCCAAACTTGTTTAAAAGCTTAGAATTAAAAAAAAATATGCAGAAAGATTTTTGCGGGCAGCTTTGTTAAGAGTTGTATATGTAAATTTCCCTTCTTGATTTCAGGCAGCAGAAGTTGCAAAACGGGATACATGATGTAACTGGGGGGAAAAAAGTATTCTTTGGGTTTTGTGCTCTATGTTCTCTTCAGTAATTGGCTCAAATACTTCAAAACCACCTACAAGTGAAAACGCTTCACTGTAGAAATGTTCAGTTGGTTAGGAAAACAGTGGCATGTAGATTTTGAAGCTGGTGTTGAAACTAGCCAAGAAGGCTTGTTCTTAACAAAAGGTTAAGGGACAGCGAGTTGCCACTCTGCAGGGTAAGGGGATCTAGAGACAAAGGACATGAGGAAGGGTAGAAAGCAGCTTTGCAGAAAAGGACGCGAGGATCCTGGTGGACAAGTTAAATGCAAGTCAGCAACGCATCCCTGTGGTAAAGCTGGCCAAGCACATGCTGGGCCGTACTAGCAAGAGCATGGTTGAAGAAAGCAGTTCCTCCCCTCTCTTAAGTTGCAACAAGGGAAATTCTCATTAGATATAACAAAAGAAACATTTCACCATAAGGGTAGTCAAACATTAGAAGAAGATGCTCAGAGATGTTAAAAAAATCACCTAAACAACGCCCTTAGCAATTCAAACTTGCCGGTCCTACTTTGAGTTTGGACTTGGACTAGATCACAACTAGTGAACGTGAATTATTCTGTGTTTCTAGGTATTCATTCAGCATCAGCATACTGATGGTGCAGAGAAACGCTACATTTATAAACTAAGTAGAATTGAGGCATCACCTTCCATGGTTATTTATTCAACCTGGCTTCTCTGACTCTTACTTCATCAGTAAAAATCACTCTAACACATCACAAGTGTTTCCAAAAAATAAATAAAATCTGTGGGTTTCTGAAAAATAAAGTTGTATCTTAATTATGAATAAAATATCCTGCCACAAAATATCCTACCACTGCTATGTTAGCAGCAGGGGGAGCTACGAATGCAGCAATGATAGACAGTTCCAAACTACTGCTACATTTTCAAATGCTTCAATAAAGCCAAATACCTGCCTCAGCTGCTGGATGAGTTCAAGACTGACTATCCCACAGGTAACGGAATGCTTCCAGAGAGGCAAAAACATCTGCACAAGGGTACGAAAATGGGATGGTTCCGAAATCGGAAATACTCTACTACAAACTACAAAATCTTACAACCTACAAAAAATGTGAGGAAACACCTCCCCCTCCAGGAGTTTTGTATTTTCTAAGGTAAAGGAAAAATATTCTCACTCTTTTCTGGAAATAAAGAGGAACTAGCAACCTGACAAAACTATTAATTATAGAAGCACTCATTTAGTTCCTTTTTTAAAGCAGCCATAATTCATGGTGTGTCTTTGGAATCATGTCTTACAAAAAGACTCACTGTATGCCTACATTGCATTAATTTCCTAACTTGCATGGCTGAAATGTTCATAACTTTAAATTTATCAATAGCTATTCACATATTTCTTAGCACTTCCTCCTAAACAACTTAAAAATAATTTTAGCTCCATTTGCTTAAGACTTTTAGTAATAGTAAAAGCAAAGGAAATGTAGTTTTGAATTTGTATTTAAGCTGTAGAGAAATGCAACCTTAATTCATAGAGCCTCTTTTTTTGGATCACCTGTCCACAGGTCAAGATGCTAAGTTGTTGTTCATTCCTATAAAAAAAGTAAAGGGAGTCAGCCCCAAGAGCAGTCCGCATTCTGCCTGACAACTTTCACCTAACAAAGGAATAATCTGTTCTATTTCAATTCAGAAATACTGCCCAGACACAGGAAATCTTTTGTGGATAACTAAATCTACATCTGAGCTGGTCCATTTCCATTCAGCTCCACTGCACTGAACAGAAGAAAATACCAGTCACACAGTTTCTTCCAAATCACTTGCTCATTAATCTTGCAAATGCGACACTACCGAAAGAAACAGAAACGCATGAACTCATGGTGCACAATAAACCACTGTGACAAACATGTAACAATTTGAGAGATATAAGGATACTAAACAATACTACTATTATCAAAGTAGCTTTGATACTAGGGCACACACTCGCCTCAATTTGTGCACTGCCTCCTGTGTCTCCTCCTCAAAGACGAACCGTGCTACCCGTATGACCCCTCTGCTTCAGCGGTACGTTGCTGGGACAAATTCAGCTTCCTTTCTCCAGCAAAATGCTGATGCCAAGCGAAGCAATGGTTCGCAGAGGGTCAGTAGAACCCTTAAGGGAACTCAACGTGGGTAAGGGTTATGCCAGAGTAGGAAGTCCTATAGCCCAAATGGAGGGGGGACACATAGTACGGTGTATGGATTAGCAGGCCAAATGCCCCCCAGTATCACTTCACGCAGACTCCAGGCCACGGTGAATGTTTCTAAGAATAAGGCTATCTTCCTCAGCAAGACTTCCTATTGGGAAACAGCGATGAGCAAAGACAAAAGGGTCTGTGACTGAGAGCTACTCCCCAAAACCGCACCGCTCCTTCTAAAAAGGTCTAGTCCCCTTATTAAAAAGGTTTAGCTGGTTGCCAAACAGAATTTTATTTTGGGTACTGTAATTCAGAAAGATTTAAGCAGCACCATCCATAATTACTACAGACTGGAGCTGGTACACTATGGCTTTATTCTACCCACAGAGGAAAATGAACTGTAGTTTAGACATCTGCCAAAGATTAGAATGAAGTGTCTGTAAGATAGCCAACATTAAAGACAAAAACTTCTGACTTGCTTCTGTTTGTACTCTCAAACTGATCAATATCAGTGTTTTCAGTAAATCCAGTCACTGGGATAGCACCACCAAGCAAACAAACAAAAAACCCACCCCCTCAAAAAAAATGAACACACTAAACAACCTCCCTCCCCCCAAAACCAACAAAAAGCAACACAGATTTGAAAATCTAACAATAAGTTAGCACATCAATGACATGCAATAGAGGGTCCCCTTTATTATTAGTCTCAGAAGGGCAGATAAAAGGACGTCACTATTTTATAATCTGGAAAGCACCACCATATAGCTTCAGGTATGCTGACACGGAAACAGTATTGGGGTTTTTGTTTGCTTTTTAATATCATACCACACACCTTATTCAACCACTCTAAAAATCTAGCTTTTAAGAAGTGCAACACGATTTACAGGAATCCATGGTGATGATGCATTTTTTAAAAAAGTCAACCTGCAATCTTCTCTTGCCACAGTTCTAGACCATGACTACACCACAGAAGTATCTTATGATAAATCTTTGATTACACCCCTGTAACCAGTATGATAAAGTGCACAGCATCCTACACAATGAAAAGCCCATCTTCCCCAAAGAAAAATTTCAGACAAGATACAGGTTCTAAACTCATCTTGTAAACCTATGGCTAAACGCTCCTATCACACAACGTCTGAAGAAGCTTTGATATTAACAAAAAAAAGTCTGGCCAACCAGAAGCATTTGTGAAACTTGCTTCACGTTTACTGTTTTTCATTAAAGCAGCAAAATTGTCTGATAGACAAAAGTTCTTACTAATTTAAAAATCAAATTACACTACAGCATGACCCCACAAACGTCTAACACAGAGCAAATCACAGCATTAAAGCATTTAATCCCGTAACTACACATAAAGAAACAAAAACTCCAAACTCAGAATTCACAATACCAGGAATCACTTGTAACATTCATTCCAGAGTAACAGGGCAGAAATACTAATTCTATTTTGCTTCTGTGAAAGGAACTCTAGTGGTGGCCCTAACATGGAGAATCTACCACATTAGCTCTGTAACAAAGATATTTACCTGCATCCTTTCAGTAGCAGCAGAGTTAAATCACGTTCAATACATAGGCCAGAGAAGAATCCACAAATACAACACATACAACATACACTGGATCCAGAGCAAAAACAGAGGACAGCACAGAGAAGCATTTCAATATACCTTGAGCGCTGAAGACTTCGTGGAGAGGCAGGTTCATGACCCGCCTGCTTGTCAGCTATTACTGGCTGCTGAGGGGCTGCCTGTGAAGCTGGTCCTTGTTTAACACCTGGAGTAGCAACCTGGAAAATTTAAAACTTCATTAGATTTCCTCCACAGCAAATATCAAATGTAAGAACCAGAGGAAAATATGGAAATTACAAGTTACAAGACCAGTAGGGCTTTTGATACAAGGTCTTTTGTTGACAGAATTTTTATACTCTTCACAAGGTGTTTAAAAGAAATAAATCATCTGTAGTTCCACAGTTGTGATAGATAGCAAGAGCACAATTAGGTATTAACGGTATCATAACACTTCTATCAGAAACGGAAAAACAAATCTAAAGGATATTTATCAGCCTGCTACTCCCCCTTTATAACTGTTCTGTCACTTCTAAAATGAATTACCAAAAAAAAAGTCACCAGTACCTTTTTGCTTTTCATTTGTGATACACATTCACATTTAAGATATTAATACACCAGCAGTGAGATACAGTCTTTTTTCTGTGAATTCCTGAACTACAAAAGACTGAATATGAAAAGCCTGGGAATACACTAGTGTCTAAGTTACAGTAAATGGAGTTCAAGATACTTTTCTTTTTTGCCCCATACTCTGCATACCCCTGTCCCTTTTAAAGTACGTACAAGAGAGGAAGCAGCTCCAAAATTTATCTCCCCCTCTGGAAAATCAAGCTAAGAATTTTAAGAAAGAGAGAGGGAAGAGAAGGTTCTAGGGATCCATAAAGACAAAAAACGTAAATCAGGCAGCCTGTCTGGCATTTGCTGACATCAAGCTGGTGTAGATTACTAACTAGTGGTCATCTGAACCTCCAGAAATTCTCTCAGTTTCAGAAACAGACTCCTGTGAAACAAACCACAGACAGCAAGTCAGACAGTATCTGCTAAAGTAAACTCAAGACATAAATTCATTCATTTAAATATACAGGAAATCTTAATGTAATCTCAAACCTACTTATATGCCTAAGAGGAAAAGTCACCTTTTGAAACCACTATCAAAAGCCAAAAGAAGTCTGAATAGCACATGAAAAGGTCATAGTTCTGGAAAGATAAAGGAAGATCACTGTAAGATCACTCAGTGTGTTGAAATCAACAGAATTATACAGTTGAGGAGGGCAAAATAATAGCAATTCCAAAATCGATTTATTAAAAAAAAAAAAAAAAAAGACTACCTGATTATGAAATGTATGACATGAAGAACTTTGCTATCAATGCCTGAATTTCACTCACCCAGACATGACACGAGCAGACATAACAACTATCAAGGCTGTTCAAATAGAAGAAACAATTTCAAAAGGAAAGTCCATCAGAGATAATACAATCACCTTGCAGGTCCAAACTGGAAAACTAACCAGCTCCCTGGCTTGTAAAAATAAAACCAAAAATGGATTGTAAAGAAAAACTGGGATTTGTAAGACAAATGAGCCGTAAAACCTCTTAACTATTCCCTATTTTCCAAGTGTTTCAAAGTCAGTAAGTGTACCAGTAATAGAAAAATACTAAGGGCAAAAAAAATAATCAATCTGTAAGCAACATTCTCGCTGAGCATGACAGGTCTGTTTAACATATGCTTTACACAGTTATTCCGCAGAAATTCAGAACAGTTTCTAACCATATAACACAGGCGCAGCTAAACAGCAAAATGTGATGCCCGGTATTCTGGAGTCTGTGACACCTGAGCTGCTGTGTGCATATAGCACACCTCCAGGCAGACATACCAGCTTGAATTTAAAAGCAGTACAGATACGTTCATGCAGTCCTAACTAACAGGCCCTACTGTGCAGATGGCACCACACTGTTCCCAGAGCCAGCCCAAGGATCCCTGCATCCAGCACTGGGCTCCGCTTGCGTGGTGCCACTTCAGCTTTGTCTACGCCTGCTGCACAGCAGCACCCTAAGCCACCGGGCTCCTGCTCTGAAACCAAGTGTGTCCTGGCACAGCACCACATCTCTATTATGCATAATTTACCTCAGACACTTCGAACTGAGTAAGCTAACCTGACTGACATATCCAAAGGAGTACTAAAACAGATGTGGTTACACTGGAGCTATTACTGCCTAAATTCTCAACTCAATCCCATTTTAGGGAATTTAATTATGGAAATACAAGAACTATCAGGAAAGTTCTTTCCCTCCTGAACCGGAGAATTAACAGCTGCATTTGTTACTTGTGGGATTAACACACAAACAATTCATGTTAACATTTCAACAGCTCTGTTGTTAGCACCAGATTTGAGGAACACAAAACCAAAGAAAAGCTCCTGCTGTCAAGCATTACTACTAATTCTGTTTAGATAATCTGGGAAGCTACTCGAGGTACCTAGAAAATAGAAAGCTTTTATGGTTATGATATCCCCATGCAGCAAGAGTTATAACTTCCTCACAGAGGGATGGGAGTGAAAACTTGCCAATGTATATAGTAACACACAACAGTCCATGAGGATTAATGGCATGCTGAAGCAAAGACATCATAGCTTAGAGTGGGTAACTCTGAAATTTACTACGCTTAACACTTTGATTGCAAACATATTATATGTGCTTCAAAAATAAACCAGATGTGCAATCTCACCTCATTGTGCCGAAATCTTAAGGAAAGAACAGATTCTAATACAGTAATTTCAAAATGTGTCCCATTATAGACATCAACACTTTCAGAACTTCTATGCACGTATCAATAAAGCGCACACAATACCCCCCTTTGAAAAGGCCAGAGGTGAAATCCTGCATGCCAAGTCACTAACTATAGTCAATCACAGAGCCCCACATGCAAGTGGAGATTCTCCTACCAGACAAAGCATAAAATAACCAACACTATTTTTATTGGTTTTTTGAGGAGTGGCAGCCTTGTTGTAGTTATGACTTACACTAAACTCAGACCAACTCTTCTCAAGTGTGCATTTAGCCTTGAAGTTTGTTGCTTCTACCGAAAACCTGAGGGAAGGCTTGTGTGTCCAAAAGCATATTCAACTATACAGCTGGTCTACCAAGACAGATTGGCCCTACTTATACCACTTGCCTTGCCTTCACTTTCTCTTAAGGCAGAGTTTATTACCACACTACCTACTTCATAGGTATAATGCTGGCCTTTACACAGGGTGAAAGGCAGCATGTTCAAGTTTGTCTGCACAGTTCTAGGAAAACATCTGTAGTGGGATGATAAATACTAGATCAGCAAGGTTTATACAACAAGGATAAATGGTTTGGGGGGCAAAAAAAAAAAAAAAAAAGCTGAGCTGTCCTTCCTTCAAGTCTTTCAGAAAACACTGTAGACAAAGAAGAACCCAAAGGATAAAGCTTTTAACATATTTATAATGTAGCTGATAATCAGAACCTTATTTATGAAGTAAATCCCAATCTCTGGGTTGCAGAGACCAGACCAGATCAACTTCCAATTACTGACAGTAAACAACTTAAGAAGATTCTTTTTCATATCCTGGGATTTGATAGTGCCAGACACCTCCTTTCTTTGTTTCAAGTCTGCTATTCGATAATTTCATTACTTGTCACCTAGCTATGGGAGGTGACCACACAGATTCAGGGCGTGCTCCAAGGGCAGAAACAAAGAAAACAAGCAGGATTAGTACAGACATGAGGCTTTCACAAGTCATTGTATCATTGTCAATCACAATAAACTGGGAGAATTACTTGGGTTTTCTTTGTACCCATGAAAAAATTCAAATGTAAGAAAATGAGGCATTTAGACTAGAATGAGGAATACAATCTGTTCTCCTAAAGATAAAAAAGTATTCCTTAAAGGCCTTCAAGACATAAGAGGTTCTCTTGCAGGGGGGCAGGTGTGTCAAGTAAGACTGGTCTCACCCCAAAGTCTAGAGTCATGCTTCTTACACTGATAAGATACTACATACACTGAGCAACATACTGATAACACTGGGTTAAAATCTGAAGGTCTCAATCTTAAAAGAAACATCTGTAAAACAAAGAGACAGGACAAGTTCCCATTGTGTGACAACAGCAAACCTCTAGAAGACATTCAAATCCTCCTCAATGAACTTCCATTTTTCACAGCCAAACCAACAGTATAAAGTGCTAAATTTTTGTTTTGTTTTGTTTTTTAAAACTTGCCTAAAAGGTACAAGAGTGTTATGCCCTGCAGCTCTACCCATCACTACAAAACTATCTTGAATGGAAAAGGTTACTTTCCACCAGAGGGTGCAAATCAATAGCCGTGCCTTCAGTCTCCTTTAGTAACAAAATCCTCCTTCATAATAGGTCCTTCAACACAGGACCTCTTCCCACCTATGCTCTATAAGATAAATCACAAGTCTTTAAACAAGGAAAAAGAAAAATCCTTAAGAAAAGGGGAGGTTCATTGTGGATGCCTCTAATTACATCTACTTTCCTCACTTGTATGCAGCAAAGCAGAGCCTCTGATCTGCTGGACAGAGCAACTATATAAATAAATAACCTCAGCTTCAACTGTATTTATTCTTCAATATCGACACTTGTAGGATATGAAATACTGAGCTCAGACGCTGCAAAAGACATTTCTCCTCTGAAGAGTGACCCACCAGAGGGATCATACAGAAAAAAAAAAAAAATAAAGACGACAACTTTATGTTTTCTACTTCATGCTTAGGAAGAACCTTAGGAGCTTACTAGTTAACTTCAATTAATGTTTCCTAGTCACTGATCCAATTAAGGAATTCTGAATGAATGCGGGTGAGGAGGCAGGGATGGAAAGGAACATCATGTTACTGACCTTGTAAATACCTAGAACATTTCTAAACCAAATTTGAGACTACATCAAGTCAACTTCAAGAATTCCATTCTAACAATCTTTTATTGGCTAAAGTCTGGAGAAATATATCAGCTGTTGCCTTTGGACTAAGTTTTTGTTTCCATTTAAATACGTTAAAATACTGATCTCTTGGTAATGTCTCCAGACAGCATGTGAAGTGAGATAAGATTTGCTTTCATTCTGTGCGAGTCGAGTTGTACCGCAAAAATACAGCAAAGTAGTTCCTTCCATTTTTTTTTGTTTCTATTGGGAAAGATAACATAGATATTTTATCATCCTACCCATAACTGCTAGCACACGGATACTTAATATTACCTATATATAAGCAACAATACTTAATATTACCTATAATGGTTTCTTACTACAATATGGCATATATCAAAAGGACCTTACCTTCTGCTGCGCTGATACCGGTGGCGTAGTCATCAAAGGTTTAAGCGGAACGGTGTTAGTCTGAGGCGTGCTTATTCTTGGAGATACATATGATCTTGGCGATGAGGCATCAGATGTTAAAGACATTGGAGACTGATTAGATGGCTGAGCTGTAAAGGAAAAAAAAGTTGGGTTTGATTTTTTTAATAAAATCATATCCTAGCTTAAATGTCAATTAGATTTTGTTTTGGTACTTTGCAGTATTCCGTATTAGACAATATACAAACATACTCAACTGGAGACAGTTGGGGAGGTGAACAACTGGAACAACCAAATGTTCAACAACCCTAACTAAAGAATTGTATTTTCCCCGAACTCTCCACTTCAAAAACTTGAGGGGAAGGGGAAAGAGAAGAAGCTATTATGCACTGCTTTTTACACATGGAGAGACTAAATTATTTTCACTTGCGATTCCTAATTTAGGATGCTCAACTCTATTTAACGAAAAGAATGAATGAATGAACTATTTACCCATTCCAGGCATCTACCAAAAGCCCCCCACCCATGTCTTAATTACTGGTTAAAAATTAACATTAGCATAATATTGCTTACCTACTCAATAACATGACTGCATTTATTGTTTTGGTTTAAGTTTCTAGCTTTATTAAGTTATGAAACATACCTGAAGGAATCTACTTACAGAAGACTACAAAAAACCCCAAACAGAATAAACTCTCTTTTAAGAATTTAAGGCCTCCCCCAAAAGTCACAGTTGCACAGTATTACAAGAAGGGTGTTTTATCCTGAACATTAAATAAGGTCTAATTAAGGTTCAGAATAAACTGAGAGGGTCTCACACATGTTTCACACTATTTATATAGTTAGTTAACATACAAAGAAAATCCCAAAAGGCGAGACAGAGAAGCACATTTACTTAGTTGCTTGTGATCTTCCTGCTCCCCAAGAAACAATTTCTTATCCTGTCTTTGGAAAAAGAAGTCATTCAACATCCTCTACACCAGATGGCCAAAGATACGACAAGAGACAGCTTCTCTAAGTTTCAGTCTTTATAAAATGCAATGTAACAATTTTACATAAGTGAAAAGAAGACTCTGAATACCTTGTGTAGACAGTTGTGCAGCTTGAGAAATTAGGGAAGTGATATTGAAAGCAGATGGTCCAGCAGTAAGAATTTTATGGAGTATAGACTGCAGAGAGGCTTGTGTCACAGCTGCTGTTAGAACTAAAAACAAACATTCTGTTTTACTGGCAATTCTAGAACATCACTTTAAACTGTTCAAACTGGCTAAATACATTTAAGCTTTCTGATTTTGATCCTATATCCACAATAGACCAAAGAGCCACCTGAACTAGTTTTCAATCACTTGAATTCAATTAATGAACACTTGGCATGACTAACCAAGTCCTTTATTTAGTTGTTTTCTCTGAGACATACACTAAAAAAAAAATCTTTTAGAAAACAACTCTTCAGCTTGACCTTATGGATCAATAAGAAAACATTTGTTCAACTTGTAATTGTAGTAAGCAGAATCTGGTTTGGGTTTTTTTTTTTTTTTTACACTACAATAATTTAAGAAAAAAAGAAAAAAAGCAAAACAGCAGTACCACTTCCAAACAAATGGGGCTGGGTGGGAAGACTTCCTGTTCAAGGAAAAAGAACAGATCTTTCAAGTTTAAAATCCAGACACTTCATTTTTCTTCTTTAAAAAAATATAACATATCTGTTTGGGGTTTAGCTGTCCCATCCCCCACTCCTCCAGTAAAAAATTACTCATTTTCAACCAACTGTTTTAAAACTACACTACACAGGAAGAGCATCTCATAGTATGAGCCAATGAGAGCCAGCCTCTGAACTAATCTTTTCAAAAAGGTCTAGAGGCTCTGTGGGATACTTCCTGAACATACACTACCCGTGCACAATTCTGAAAAAACTGACTCACCAGCACAAACACAGAATAACTCTGCATCGTGTGCACAGTAACGGCAGTCCTGCTGCGCAAGCTGAAGTCATTCTGCCCACGTGGCCCTCGCGCCATCAGAACAATACTAAACACTCTTGTTCCAAGAAAGACACATCTGCAGCTCAGATGTGGCAAGAGAAAATGACTAGGAACTTATATTGGCAGCTTTCTAATAAAATGCAATTAGAGTCTTGATTGGACCTTTCATTTTTTAACACAACCAACCACGATACTCCCACTTTTTTAGTCCAGCCTAGTGCACTACAGTTTTAAAAGCTTCTCCCTGCACAGGAAAAAACAATAATTTACTCACCTACCAGTACTGAATGAAGCCACAATATTTGCTGATTAAAAGGAAGTCAGTTGACAGCCTTCCCTTATAAATAATCATAACGTACTTAACAGTAACATTTTAAGTCAAACTTTACTATTTTGGCTTTCAAGGTTTGCACTTTTCAAAAGTTAAAGATAATTAACTCTGGGCACTACACATAAATCACTGATCAGTGTGCAAGAAGTCCAAAGAAGCAAACAAAAAAATCCCACACCACTTTCTTCACCAGTAACGCGCCACATGCAGACACCACGTTAGATAAAATTACATTCAAAATGCATCAACTCCACGTGTTTTTGCAGTGAAAGGCACTATAGCTAGTTCTAAACTTTCTTTTAATAAACTAGGCCAATGTGACAAAAATGTAAGGGATACACCGATTACATGCACAAAATTTAACTTGCTTGCAAAATGACTGATATGCTATCTTTATTCAGAGAGGCTAACATGTTCTGTTAAAGAAAAAAAGTTGATAGGCAACAAGATTTAAGAATCCCTAGAAGTTTCAGTATTTGCAAACACATATTATTAGAACAGGAGCACAAACCACAGAAAACAAAGAACATTGCATGAAACAAAAGAACAAAAAGCTCTAACTAAATTTTGTGCAACAAATGAATGCTGATTCAGCGATTAAGTCACCAGTCTCAATTAGACTGGTCACATACATCAGCATTTATTAGCTTAACAGCCTTAAACATTACTTGGCTAATTTAAAAAGGTTTAACAGGAAAAAAAACAAACAAAACCAATCCCTGCTTTATCCAGGGATTCATTTATTCACTTCTCTTTTAAAGTAAGACTTACATTTACTAGATCTTAGCATCCGACAATACACTAATGTGTGTAAATAATATATTACATCACCTTTAAAGAATCCTTACCTTCATTGATTTTGGATATATCTACGCTAGAATTATTAAGCTGCAAGGTGGCTTGCAGAGCAGGCAGCAGCTGTCGAAGGAGATTTGGGTCCTGAAGTAACGGAGGAATTGGTGATTGTGGGACAGGTGAGACAGGAACTGTAGGAGCAGATGAAGCAGGCGCAGAAGTTGGGTTCAGTCCAGAAGCAGAAGATGTAGAAGGAGTTGTGCAAGAATGGGATACAGACTTGTCCACAGATGCAGACTCTGAACAGGAGACAGACAGTATTTTTCATTTTCCGCAATATAACCTGAAAACTTCTCACTAGTATAACATTCGTATTAAATTCAGAAGATCAAATGCTTAACTATCGTTATAAAAGAAAAAAAAAGAATGTAACAAAAATTGAAGATATCAAATATCTAGTGTAATTTACACTATTAATCTGATATTTATTAGGAACACACATACACAAAAATTTTTCCACTTCAAGTTATTGGACTGAAAGCTCCCTGTACTACAAATGGGAATTTCCCCCCCCCTAATTTTTAGGACAAATGTGGGCCAAAAATTTCTTAGTGACTTTTTCTTTACTGTGCACATACTCATAGTCTATGTTTTCCTCATGATTCCAACCTGTCTTTGGAAAATATACTATGAACAAAAACCTTATAGCCCATGGACTTTACAGATACGCTAATATGTCAAATTTGAGAGGAAGGTATAAGCCACGCTTCATTTATTCAGAGACCCGACTACAAGAAGCTACAAAATAAAGACCAAGTCTATCATACTCAATCCAGCTACAATGCTCAGGATTCACAGACAGGATAGTGAGCTGTACTAGAAATGTAAAGCATGAGCCATTAACATCCTCACAGCAGAGAAGAAAAACATCTAAAAATTTATCTGCCCATAAGTCATTTCAAACTTGTCAGCTTCTCCTGAAGCATCAAGACCTACATCCTTGATTTTAATTTCATTTTAGCAAATATCAGCACTTATCCACAGAAATGCTTAGCACTTAAATTCAGTTACACTCTATGGCCATTTGTTCTAATTAATATGAGCTATTTATTTAATTCTAAATTTGACTTCTAGTTAACATGAAAGTTTCTCCTCTTTTCCAGCACTGTGAGAAATTCTTGCACTGAAAATATTTCCACTTACTATAGGTGTACCATCAGTCACTTCATGCATCCTCCTTCCTTTAAGAAGCCTGGACCACCGTATTTCAATTTTAGCTTCCCCTTCTCTCATTCCCATTAAACCTATCAGAGACCTATGTCCCCAAATTCAGTCATGACTAATGCCTCTATAGCACCAAACAGGTTGGAGATGAACAGAAATGTGGATAAGGATCCAAGATCTCACCCAGGATGCTTGCCTGTAATAGTGGAGACCTGGATTTTAATCCCACCTCAAACTGGGCAGAGAATGTCAACCTGGACACTCCACATTTCAGGCAAAAATCCAAATGAAAGCTATAATAACTGGCTGGGAAACTCCTTTACTCTAACACTGTGTTTGGTTTTTTTTCCTTTGGAGAGATGGTCAAGGTAAGAAGAGGCTGACTTTTAGAAAAGAAGAAAAATGAAAAGGTCTTGTTTTGTGTTACTACGTAAGAATAAAATGTCACAAAATTTCTAAAAGCTTTTGTTTTCTGACAGCCTTAATTCCAACTTCTGAGATTAATTTGCAGAACCCTAAAAAAAGACTGAAGTGAGAATCAACATGTAAAACAAATGAGATTAAAAATCTGAGTGAAAAGAAAGGGGACTTCTGCTTTCATGCGGTTACAGTAGAAATAGTTCATAATAGGTCACATGTACTCCAAAAAATACCTTTTCCAGTCAAGTAGCTGAAAATCTAAACCAGAAAAAAAAAAACATCGAAGAGTCCAAATTTGACAGCTTGCAAGGATGCAACAGCCAGGGTGCACAGACATATTTTGATGTCTCAGGCAAACTTCTAAACAAGAGGCAGCCGTATCTAATTACAAGCTCCTCAGGACAGTGGGTTGGCTTTCAATGTATCTGTAAAGGGACCTGGTCATTTGGCCAGGAGTTTTCATAAGACCTTACAAAGGGACATGAAGTGTTACAAAGACAGAAGAGGAAAAAAAGCAGTTACAAAATTTTTATATGGTTTTCAGTAACGTGGCTAGGACAGTTGACTAGGTATTAGATTAGCTCCCCCTTAAAACAGTAAGTCATTAGTAAAATTCTCTGTTATAGAAGTATTACATACAAAATCTTATGTTATGGTGTTCAAAGTAAACCTATTAAGACAACTGCAAGTCAAGACATGTCAAGCAAACAAGAATCTTACCACACTGAACAAAAACATGTGAAGTTTAAACTGAACTTGGATTTGTTATAGTCCACGTAAGGACAAGATACACTAGCAGACAAAAGTAAGGGAATTAAGCACAATGGGGCATGTTAGTACTTTTATGTACAAGACCCCTACCTTACAGTTTTGAGAACCTTACCAAAAAAAACCCCAAAAGAACCCCAACAACCAAAACCCCAACAAACCATCCTAATTTAAAATCAAACAAACAAACCAGAAAAAAAAATACTAAGCAACTAACATCACTAATTTCAAAACGTATTTAATATATTTAGGCCTGTCTTTACAGTTGAATTGAGTTATTTTAAGGAAAGAAGCAACTTATTAATTCACTTAAGTGATACCTGAGCTTCAAACCACACCACCATACCAAACAGCTGGACGTATTTTTCACCCATGCTGCACTTTTGAACATAAAATAAACTGAATCAAAGGCACACTCCAGCTAACAATGAAGTGAAGACAAACCTTAAGACCAGTTCTGGGTATTTACTCATTCCTTGAGTAAAAGGATTCAAAATATATCATAAAAAAACACTGAATTCCAAGAGGTCTGCAAAAGTACTTTAGTTTGGGTGAGCTTCTCTGCTATAAAAATGCAAACTGAATTACAAAAAACCAACACAGTCCAGTTAATTCTTTTAGACAATATGGAGACGCTATTCTGTAGCTGTATTATTGCAGGCATTTTAAGTATGTGTTAAAATATACCTACAAAAGATATTTTTTGTACGGTCAGATTAAACACCTAGAGAAAGCGATGTGAAAAAATGATGGTGCCTAACACTAACATTCTGATCTTTGGAGTTGGTTAACATTACAAAACCAATAGTTCAAATGTTATGAAGGAATACACCTCTATGATCCTGACTATCTACATGTACACAGTATTGTAACTCTGTGTTATTGAACATCATATGCAGAATACGATGGCACTTCACAAATTAAGTAATTTAAGTTATTCATAGTGAAATAAAGGGTATAAAACTATTTCTGCCAAAAAACACTGTAAAAAATATTTGCGGAAATACAAGTATTTCTTGTTTGTATTAAGAATCCTGAATGGCTATTTTCTTCCCTACAAAGGGAAACTCCTTTGTGATGAAAACAAGCATGCCAAAATGATAGAGAATACAGATTAGTTCCGTACAATCATGACTTTCATCACCTTAATTTAAACCAACCTATTTCACCTCACATCTTCTAGACTGGATGCTCAATTTCACAGAAATAAATCCAAAAAATACTGCCAATAAAACAAAGCCCCTAAATACTTACACATCCATTTTTGTAAAATCTCATTACAAAGGCTTAAAACTGGTTTAATTTGTTTATGATGCTATACAGAACTTACAAGTTTCACCTTTAAAGTTAATACAACTAGTCAAAGGTCCTCAAGATGAAATGTTTGTTTCACAAAAATGCTCAGATATCACTCAGTGGGGTGTGTGTATTTCCCCTGCTTTTTCCACAAATAGAAGCAGAAACTTCTCACTCCCTTCTTTTCCTCCTTAAGTGCCCTTTTCTGATCTGCTTTGAGAGACTGCTTCATTGTATACTTTGCCATGCAGTTAAGTTTACTTTTCAACATTTAAACACTATCTCCTAGTTTCTAAAACATTTACTAGGGTTTTTAAAAAATGCTTAGAATTACGCAGCCCTGTGATTCTTAAATGTATTTGATGCCTCAATCATCAGGAAACAGTCAAAATGAACACAGCATACTGAGAAAAGTAAAATATCTTTACAAATCTAAGTACTTTAGTTTTACAGCTTTGATAGACTGGTCTCTACACCTGTGTCAACATAAATTCATGTTCATTAACAAGCTAACTACAGTATTATTGCAAAATAAGGCTTCTGATTACACAGCAGTCATTCGTAAACCTAATTTGAACCATTAATACATCAATCAGACCAACTTCAAACCTACAACTGAAATTTTACAAACAGAAAATGTAAATTTGTCTGCGTCATATAAAAAAATATTCTTAAAGATGAACTATGCTGCAAGACCCACAAAAGTCTCAGACTGGCTATTGGACCAACTCTACAGTCTCCTCATTATCAACACCAATTTCCATACAAATGCTATGCAAATGACCCTTCAACATCACATAAAATTTCAGCTATTATCATGAAAGTCCTAAAGAAAACTTTTTAAACTTAAAAAAAAAAAAAACACCCAAAAACACAACAACAAAAAGACCCAAGAAAAAATCCCAACAAAACAAAAAACCAAACACCCCTCAAAAGCAGACCATAACCCACTGCAATCTCTTGAACTGTTGAAAGCTTTGTTAATTAAAATTTACCTGTTAGGTCTTCCTCCACATAAATACATATATAAAAAATTAAATAATTTTAGGGTTTTTTTTGTGATTTTAAAAATATGACTTTGTACCAGTTTTTCCATGATAAGCTAAGCGCATTAAATTTCATCTTCTGTAGCTTTTAAGAAAACTTCTAAAAAAAATCCATTCACTTTGTTGTAATAATACAAAAATACACTATGCATTCTGACTATCATATAAACAAACTAATTAGATGCAGCCTACATACAGAACTACAATATAGAACTAAACAAGTTTCTGGACCATCATATGGTAAAAAAATGAGCAGGAAATAAAGCCATCAAAAAAAAAAAAGAGGAAAACAAAGTAATCACATGTCAAACAAACACAAGTAGACGTGGAGATTAATTTAATATGAAGAACTATTAATTGGTTTCACATTAAAATGAAGCAGGAAAAAAACTTTTTATAACGAAAATAACTTTGAAAGACTAGAATGATTAAGAAAGAGACTTCTATTCATAATCTACTCTGCTGGAGTGTGACCTACCATCACATCTTTTGGACAAAAAGGAGAGAATTTGAGCTGTGGGGCAGTATTCTCTATGACAAGAATC